TTTTAACGTTTATTAACCAGTTTATCTTAAAAATACCTTTCTAAAAAAATCTTTTTAAACCTTTATTATAGTCATATTTTATCCTTCATTGTATCTAACTTTATTTTTAGTATACTAATTTGCATATCTAACTTAATTTTTTGTATATAGGGTTATTTCTTCTAAAAAATCTTAGGATACAATTTCTTCTTATAGATCAAAATATACCCTAAATCTAGCACAGGGCTTTGTTCTACTCTCCAACCTGAGCACATTCTCTCCACTTTCTTTCTTTTTCCATCCAACTTATCTTATCAATTCTTTTCTTAGAATTTTAATTTTTTAATTTTCAGCTTTATAGTCATATTCCATCCCTGCATCATGCTTACCCTTATATTTGTATATATATATAATTTTCTTTCTTTAAAATTTTGGAAGGTAGTTTCTTCTTCTTCTTTTTTTTTTTTTAAATATTTTATTTATTCATTCGACAGAGAGAGATCACAAGTAGGCAGAGAGGCAGACAGAGAGAGAGAGAGGAGGAAGCAGGCTCCCCACCAAGGAGAGAGCCCGATGTGGGGCTCGATCCCAGGACCCTGGGATCATGACCTGAGCCGAAGGCAGAGGCTTTAACCCTCTGAGCCACCCAGGCGCCCCAAGAAGGTAGTTTCTTCTAAGAGACCAAAATACTCCCTGAATCAAGGTGGTGGCTCTGTTCTATTCACCAGTCTAATATATACACACACACACACACACACACACACATATTTTCAATATATATTTTTTAATTTTATATATATTATATATACTATATATTATATTACATATATATATATTTTTTAATTTTTTAAAAGATTTTTAAAATTTCTTTTTACCCCCTATCTTCTCCTTCCAATTTGGGGTCTCTTCTGATTTGGTTAGCATTTACTTTTCTGTGGCCTTTGCCACCCTTTTAGTATTTTATTCTCTTATTCATATATTCTTATCTGGATAAGATGATAAGGTGGAAAAACTTACCACAAAAAAAAGAACAAGAGGCAGTACTGAAAGCTATGGACCTAATCAATACAGACATTGGTAATATGTCAGATCTAGAGTTCAGAATGACGATTCTTAAGGTGCTAGCCAGGCTTGAAAAAGGCAGGGAAGATATTAGAGAAACCCTGTCTGGAGAAATAAAAGCCTGTTCTGGAGAAATAAAAGAACTAAAATCCAACCAAGCTGAAATCAAAAAAGCCACTAATGAGGTGCAATAAAAAATGGAGGCCCTTTTCCACGCCAGTATCTGTTGTTTCCCGACTTGTTAATTTTAGCCATTCTGACTGGTGTGAGGTGGTATCTCATTGAGGTTTTGATTTGTATTTCCCTGATGCCAAGTGATGTGGAGCACTTTTTCATGTGTCTATTGGCCATCTGGATGTCTTCTTTGCAGAAATGACTGTTCATGTCCTCTAACCATTTCTTGATTGGACTATTCATTCTTTGGGTGTTGAAGTTTGATAAGTTCTTTATAGATTTTGGATACTAGCCCTTTATCTGATATGTCATTTGTCAATATCTTCTCCCATTCTTCCAGTTGTCTTTTGGTTTTGTTAACTGTTTCCTTTGCTCTGCAAAAGCTTTTGAGCTTGATAAAGTCCCAATAGTTCATTTTTGCCCTTGTGTCCCTTGCCTTGGGCGATATTTCTGGGAAGAAGTTGCTGCGGCTGAGGTCAAAGAGGTTGCTGCCTGTGTTCTCCTCAAGGATTTTGATGGATTTCTTTCTCACAATGAAGTCCTTCATCCATTTTGAGTCTATTTTCATGTAAGGAAATGGTCCAATTTCATTTTTCTGCATGTGGCTGTCCAGTTTTCCCAACATCATTTGTTAAAGAGACTGTCTTTTTTTCATTGAACATTCTTTCCTGCTTTGTCAATGATTAGTAGACCATAGAGTTGAGGGTCTATTTCTGGGCTCTCTAATCTGTTCCATTGACCTATGCATCTGTTTTTGTGCCAGTACCATACTGTCTTGATGATGACAACTTTGTAATAGAGCTTGAAGTCTAGAATTGTGATGCCACCAACTTTGGCTTTTTCAATATTCTTCTGGCTATTCAAGTTCTTTTCTGGTTCCATATAAATTTTAGGATTATTTGTTTCATTTCTTTGAAAAAAATTGATGGGATTTTGATAGGGATTGCATTAAACGTGTAGATTGTTTTAGGTGGCATAGACATTTTCACAATACTTATTTTCCAATCTATAAGCATGGAACATTTTTCCATTTTTTTGTGTCTTCCTCAGTTTCTTTCATGAGTACTTTATAGTTTTCTGAGGACAGATTCTTTACCTCTTTGGTTAGGTTTATTCCTAGGTATCTTATGGTTTTGGGTGCAATTGTAAATGGGATTGACCCCTTAATTTCTCTTTCTTCTGTCTTGCTATTGGTGCATAGAAATGCAACTGATTTCTATGCATTGATTTTATATCCTGACACTTTACTGAATTCCTGTACAAGTTCTAGCAGATTTGGAGTGAGTCTTTTGGGTTTTCCACATAACATATCATATCATCTGCAAAGAGTGAGAGTTTGACTTCTTCTTTGCCGATTTGGATGTCTTTAATTTCTTTTTGTTGTCTGATTGATGAGGCTAGGACTTCTAGTAGTATGTTGAATAGCAGTGGTGATAATGGACATCCCTGCTGTGTTCCTGAACTTAGTGGAAAAGCTCTCAGTTTTTCTCCATTGAGAATGATACTTGCTGTGGGTTTTTCGTAGATGGCTTTGATGATATTGAGGTATGTACCCTCTATCCTTACACTTTGAAGAGTTTTGATCAGGAAAGGATGCTTTACTTTGTCAAATGCTTTTTCAGCATCTATAGAGAGTATCATATGTTTCCTGTTCTTTCTTTTATTAATGTATTGTATCACATTGATTGATTTGTGGATGTTGAACCAACCTTGCAGTCCTAGAATAAATCACACTTGGTCATGTTGAATAATCCCTTTAATGTACTTTGGATCCTATTGGGTAGTATTTTGGTGAGAATTTTCGCATATGCGTTCATCAAGGATATTGGTCGTAATTCTCTTTTTTGATAGGATCTTTGTCTGGTTTTGGGTTCAAGGTAATGCTGGTCTCATAAAATGAGTATGGAAGTTTTCCTTCCATTTCTATGTTTTGGAACAGTTTCAAGAGAATAGGTGTTAATTCTTTTTTTAAAGTTTGGTAGAATTCCCCTGAGAAGCCATCTGACCCTGGGTTCTTGTTTGTTGGGAGATTTTTGATGACTGCTTCAATCTCCTTAGTGGTTATGGGTCTGTTCTGGTTTTCTATTTCTTCCTGCTTCCGTTTTGGTAGTTAATACGTCTCTAGGAATGCACCCATTTCTGCCAGATCATCAAATTTGCTGGTGTATAGTAGCTCATAATATGTTCTTATAAGATATTTGCAAATGACATAACAGATAAAGGACTAGTATCCAAAATCTATAAAGAACTTATCAAACTGAACACCCAAAGAACAAATAATCCATTTCAAATGTAGCGATCCAAAGGGGCATGTGCACCTGAATGTTTATAGCAGCAATGTCCGCAATAGCCAAGCTATGGAAAGAACCTAGATGTCCATCAACAGATGAATGGATAAAGAAGATATGGTATATATATACACACACACACACACACACATACAAACACACATACACATGCATACATATATCATATATATGTATGCATGTGTATGTGTGTGTGTGTGTATATACACACACACACATACATACATACACACACACACATATACAATGGGCTTGGGAGGTTGGGAAGGAAAAAATGAAACAAGATGGGATCGGGAGGGAGAGAAATCATAAGAGACTCTTAATCTTGCAAAACAAACTGAGGGTTGCTGGGGGAGGAGGGTACAGAGCGGGTGGTTGGGTTATGGACATTGGGGAGGGTATGTGCTATGGTGAGTGCTGTGAAGTGTGTAAGCCTGAGGATTCACAGACCTGTACCCCTGTGGCAAATAATACATTATATGTTAATTTAAAAAAAAAGAAATGTAAATCAAATGAACTTATGGTTAATGCTTTCTCAATAAAGTGTTGCCCGAGGGAAAAAAAAAGAAAAAGAAAAAAGAAAATTCACTTAAGAAGTGATTTCAAAAGGATGCTTTGGGGGACCAATGGCACCCTGAGAAGCTTTCTGGGAGAAGGAGGAAGGGAGGGCTCTTGCTCAGGCTGCAACAAAACCATTTTGATCTTATCAGTGTGATAGGTAATGTAATATACTGAGAGAAATAATTTCACAGCCTTAAAAAAAAGATAGAAATCCTATGTTCTAATTAGAAATAAATAATCTTAAAAAAAAAAAAAAAAGGTAGGACTCCTGGGTGGCTCAGTTAGTGAGTGTCTGCCTTCAGCTCAGGTCATGATCCCAGGGTCCTGGCATCGAGTCCCACATCAGGCTCCCTGCTCCATGGGGAGTTTACATCTCCCTCTGCCTCTGCCTGCTGTTTCCCCTGCTTATGCTTTCTCTCTCTCTCTCTCTCTCTCTCTCTCTCAAATAAAGAAATAAATAAAATCTTAAAGAAAAAAAAAAAAAGAAGAAGGCCACAGCTAAAGGCTTTGTTCTCTTCTCTACCTAAGGCTTCCCTGGTGGACAGTGGTGGTGTGGTATTACCTGGTATGCACCATAAAACATATACATCACACTAGTTACACTACCTCTGATGATTTATTTGGAATGCTTAAGAGTCCACAAGCACAATGGAAATGTCATGAAAATGGCATGTTGTACCTATAAATCATTTTAAGTGTTTGCCTACAAAACCCACCCAGAAGTTTTAAAAAGTGCTTTTTAAAAGTATAACACAATTAGTTAAAAGATGATGATTTTGAGATAATTTTTAACAGCTGAATGACTACTAATGTAGTTCAAGGAGCTAAGTAACAGAAAAACATAGTAAGGATCTGCTGGGGTAGGCACTGTTTTTACTCCTCATGGTGATGTCACATCACAAGTAGATACTAACGTACCGGATCATCAGGGTTATATTGGATAACATATTCTATCTGTCCATTCGGTCCATCATCTATGTCTGTAGCTCCATTGTCTCCTGAAAATCCTGTAAATATCGTGGTGCCAACTGGAGTGAGCTGAAAATAAAATAAAATAAAAGCCGTCAATCCTCATTCCATCAACAGCATACCAGAAGTGTTCTAGCACAAGCTCAACCTTCTGTTACACAAAGAAGAGTAGGCAGCTGCCCACGGCCACAGACCTGATGCATTTCTAAAGAACGCTTCTAAACCTTCCATATGAGTTCTTGTGAAAGCTGAAATTTCCAACATCACGGTCCTTGCTTTGAGTGAAAAACAGAAGGCCCTAACTCAGTGTGAAGCACATTTGAACCAATTTATGACCATTAGTATCTCAGCCCCTGTGGAGAGAATGCATCTGTTGTTCCTCCTTTAAAAACAAACAAACAAACAAACAAACAAAAAAACCTTGATGCATTAAGTTATGGACAAGCTAGAATTTAAATTGTATGTGGAAGTTAGCATCTTTATTTTAAAGTCAAAAACCATTTAGGAGAGATGAATGACACGATGGAAGTTTGAGGATGGGATATCAGAGACAGTTGTGCTCTATGCATCCGAGGAGAGAGAGAGCTCGAGTTGCCACAGTTGCTGAAGGCCATTGAGTGGTGGGTGTTGGCAAGACAACCAGATCTTTTCCTTTGGGATTCAAACAACTGCAAAACTTATTACGGCACACAAGACCATGATTTGGCATTTGGCCTGTGTACCTAGCTTCATTCAGTGCTGCTCTCCACCAGAGAGTCACTGTTATTTTCTTTGACCTGTAGGTCATTCCCTGCCCAGTGTCTTCCTACATCCAGTGCCTCTAGAAGTCAAGCTTTAGCTGGAGCCCTCCTCATGAGTTACATTTCCACTTACTCAGCATCCCTTCTCCTAAACCATCCCCGGCAAAGCATGCTCCATTCCACATCAGTATAAGGTACCCTTCTTGTTATGTTTGCATCTTATACTTTTCTTCCTTAATCCCTGCATTGAAATCATGAATAAATAAATTTTATCAATAAATATAACCTCTCTGCCTCTATGCGTCAGAGGCTTTTCATTTTTTTTTTTTTTATTTTAGAGATATGTTTTGTTAGTTTTTAAATGGCATTCTTTCATGGAGAAATAGTTTCAGGATGGAAAAAGAAAAGGAGTTGTCTCATGTATTCCTGTTTCCAGTGGTACAAATCCAGACCTCTACAGGGATCAACCACATAATGACTAAATGAATGAAGCAAGCCTGATGTGCTCGGGGGCAAACTGAGAATCACATACATTCTACGAAGCAAATTCTTGCCATGATGGAATATAGTCTTCTTATATCCTAATTTTATGAGAAATGTCTTGGTTCTAAGATTGGCCTAGATTTTAGAGAATTAAACTATGGACTGAATGGGCCAAACAAAATATATGCATGAGGCCCAGTAACTACAGTACTTTGCAACTTCTGATCTAAGAAAAAAAAAAAAAATTACAAGTGTGATGAAAGAAACAAGCCACAGATACAAAGTAGTGAGCATTTACAAAATCAGCCTTCCTGGCAGGCAGGTCTACAGGGCAAATTTTGACTTCCAACCTGTCAAAGAGAACACAAAGAAGAGAGGAGATGGTCTGAACAGCATATTTGAGAACACCAGGACACCATGGAGGGAGACCCTGGGTGAAAACGTGAGGTCACTGAAAGACTGCTAAGACTTCTAAACTGACAATTTTCATTTTTAAAACTGTAATCCCAGTTCCCAAAGATATTGTGCTTTCTTGAAAAAAAAATCATCTAAATCATTCTAATGTAGCTTGCTTTGATTTTTAAATTATCAAATTTTAAAATTGAATGATGGTTTATTTCTAGATAACTACTAAAACCAAGTATTTTCTGTGGTAACAATACCTCTATATTCCTCTTTCCCTTCATCAAGGCTCTTGGAAACATGGGCCATTGTAGTGAAGTCAAAGTCAAACACTAAGCTTATTTAAAAATTAGGAAATACTGTTTAAAAAGGAAGTAGCAATGGAAACAAAGGATCTGCTTCAAAATATATATATTGGATTTGACTATCACCTATACATCACCTAACATACGATTTCAAAGTATCTTCTGTCTCCTGTGTGAAAATAAAATTATTGGTAACCTTATAATAAAACAAAACCACAGAACCCCACAAAGTATTTTTTTTTTTTTTTTTTTTTGAGTAGGCTCCACACCTGGCATGGAGCCCAACACAGGGATTGAACTCAGAAACCTGAGATCAAGACCTGAGTTGAGACCAAGAGTTGGGTGTTTAACTGACTGAGCCACCCAGGTGGTATTTTTTAAAGATCTTTGTTACCAAAACAAAACAAACAAAAAAACTGTGCTGTGGGATTGATTTTAAAAAAAAAATCAAAAGGAATCAAAACAAAGACAAAATGAAACAGAAAAACGTGAGCAGTAGGTGTGGGCAGGTTTTGAAAATGATGTGTCGGTGTCTATCTACTCACTGAGGCAGCATATCCTACAATACTAGACTCATTGTGGGGAGGGATTCTGAAGTCCTGTAGCCAAGGGCACAACACGGGTACTCAGGGGAAGAGGAGGTTGGAAGAGCTGGGAGCACATGCCAGTGTCTGGAGGTGCTTAGAGAGTGAGTGGGCTGGACGCCAGGGAAGAAGGGCTTTAGGGTGACAAGCAGAAAGTGTGCTGGAAACAATCACAAGCCCTCTATTGAATCAATTCTGCCAGCCCCTATAATACGCACCTAAAAGGACAAGATGTTAGAACAAAGATTTTTTTTTTTAATCAACTCACTATTACTAAAACCAATTTTTTTCTTTCTTAACAAGTTTTTGGTTTTCTTTTGTTTTGCTTTGCTTTTTTAATTGAAGGAAGTCAAAGTTTCAACACAATCAGTAGTGCCTCACCTGTACATTATGAAACATTGGGGCTTGAATCATGATGACATATCAGAGTTATTCAGAAGTAAAACAAGCAAACAAGAGAAAACCTTATGATTCTCTCACTTGATCATGTAACCACTTGTGTAACATTCAACGGCTATATTATTACCCAGTGACATTATTTTCTTGGAAATTTTAAATTATGTAGACAGGTTGACAGTTTTCTACATGCTGCTTTAATAATATAAATTCAATCTGACTAGATGTGAAGTTTGAAGTATTATTTATATATGTAGAGGAAAAAAAAAACAACTAATCTCGCCTTTGAGTCTCAAAATCCAAAATGCAAATGAAATGTCCCTGCTGATTTGAGTAAGTAATAAAATGGCAGTTGTTAGAAGATAAGAACTGTTGTTAGTCAAGGAGAAAATAAAGCATAATATTCTCTAAATCTCACAACTTTCTATGTTTCCCAGTCTTATCTGAGATTAAGTTTATAAAAACAAATATTGCATAACAGTATTTGGTTGGAATAAATGATTTGAAAGATTTTACTTCTCCCTGTGTGATATTTGCAAATCGAAAGACATAGTTGCAAATTCAAAGACCCTAAGCATGAAAAACTATGTTTTTCTCCAGTTGTCCAAACGTTTTTGAAATTCACAAAAGGCAACCTAAGAGTGTTAAGGTGCCTTAATATATTATCATCAATTAATATTTTTCCTCTCCATCAGACACCTTTCTTTTAATTTAAAAATCACATTTATAAAGAAGTATAATTTTAATACCTCATCTTTTAAAACAAACCCTATATTATATTTTTAGTTGCCTTTAGAAAAAGTGCACTCAGTGACGAAGTCCAACAAAGACTGTTGTTGGATTACACATGAAAGGACTTACTGTGCATTTGTTCATGGATGCAATTTGAACCTTATCCAAAAAAAAATTTCAATTTCAATCACTCTCATTTTAGGATTTAACCTTATTTTTTGGGTGCCACATATAATTGCCCCCAATAGAATTTATGTGCCCATATATATTTTTATTATTCCCTGAAATTACAAGTAGAATTATGATTCAATAGTCAATTGTCTTAGTTAATATCTTTGAAAGGAAAACAAAGGAGAAATAATTTCCTCATGTCGACAAAGAGAATCCATTTTCTCATTTCTGTAATGATATCATAATAAAGGTCATGCATGATCTCTAAATAGGATTTTAAGCCCTTTTTAAAAAAGGAGAATTTAGGTCCTTGAAAATTAAGTGGAAAGGGTTATTATAAGCAGATTACAGCATTGTATTTAGTCTGGGTGCTGTCTCTATTCATTACAATTTCACTAACAATCACTACAGTTTCACCAACAACTGGATTAAAGATTTTTCCTCCAACTTTGAAAATGTGGTATTTAGTTGTTGACAGCAAAGGACTCAGGAAATATCCCTCATTATGAGTTCAGCATGTGCATAGATGAGTGAGTGCTGCTGTCTTCCATAGCTGAATGTTCAGACCAAACATCTTAGCACACATTGTTCCTACTTGTGTCCACTAACAGAATGCGGAAACGTCCCCATGCAGACATGCACAGGTAAATGCAGCAGTAACCTGGGTCAGTGACTGGGCTGCGCACATTTATCTGTGATCTACCACTCACGTGGTTGACCCATCAGAAAAAGGCTAGGGTTAGGGATGTTTAAAACTAATATAAGAGCCCCAATGTTCACAGCAGCAATGTCCACAATAGCCAAACTGTGGAAAGAGCTGAGATGCCCCTTCCTTGACAGACAAATGGATAAAGAAGATGTGGTCCATATATACAATGGAGTATTATGCCTCCATCAGAAAGGATGAATACTCTAATTTTGCATCAACATGGAGGGGACTGGAGGAGATTATGCTAAGTGAAATAAGTCAGGCAGAGAGAGTCAATTATCATATGGTTTCACTTACTTGTGGAACATAAGGAGTAACATGGAGGACATTAGGAGAAGGAAGGGAAAAATGAAGCAGGGGAAATCAGAGGGAGAGGTGAACCATGAGAGACTGTGGACTTGGAGAAACAACCTGAGGGTTCTAGAGGCGAAAGGAGTGGGGGGATGGGTGAACCTGGTGATGGGTATTAAGGAGGGCTTGGATTGCATGGAGCACTGGGTGTTACACACAAACAATGTATCATGGAACACTACATCAAAAACTAATG